AAAAAAAAAAAAAACTCTGGCTATCTGGAGAGTTTTGCTACTACAAGATTCCTATGGAGTCTTTCAAACTCACTTCGGAACACCTAGATTTAGAAGTGAACTAACTTCAATCCACACCCACGACAATCTAAATTGACTACAGCTTGAAACTATATTATTCAGTGCAGCGGACAATGTTGAGAGCAGAAACTAACCCAAACAGAACAAGACAACCATATATTTCCAAGATTATACCAACTATTGGCCACCGAACGAAAAGGAAAAATAGACCAAGAAGAAAAGATGCAGAACCCTGCAGAAGAAAAAGAAAATCAACATTAGATCTATCTCATACCAGATAACTTAAATTTATACAACACAAAATGTAGATATCCGGTTCTTTCATATTAAAAAATGGATAACCAGTTATTACTCAAAGCCTATCAATGCCTTATTTTGAAAATACTTTTCAACAAATCTTATAAACAGATGAAAGGATACATATTCAGGTAGATCCACGGTATCAACTTCTAAATCTGTATTACTCAAAGCCTATCAATGCCTTATTTTGAAAATACTTTTCAACAAATCTTATAAACAGATGAAAGGATACATATTCAGACAAATTGAATTGTCACAACTCAATTCACCTAACAGAAGGGTATGTTGGACAGTCAAACATGACACTGAGATCTGACAAACTGCGGCACGTTGAATTTTTAACATACCACAAGTGAAGAAGGTATCTCAAGAATATTAAACACCACAAGTTGTGATCCATGCTCAGGTAGATCCACGGTATCAACTTCTAAATCTCTCATTTAGAATTGGACTTAGATACCTTATATTTAGGCATTAGGTCGATAGTTTGTTGTCTGTATATTTTAGAATATGTTTTGAGGTTGTTTGCTTTTGAAAACATGTCAAATCAAAATTTCTGCAAAATATGTTTCTGTAGAATTTTAACTGGTCAAGGTACCTATTCAAATGGTTGAGATTTTCTCAACGATATTTTATGGTACTTGAAAAATTCAATTTCTGACAGAATCACAAGGGCCAATTGATCATCCATTAGGAGGCCAGTCAATCAGCCCTGTTTTTGTTCTATGTATTCCTTGTTTTGTTTTACCAGAATTGTCCAGAGAGTTGGCCTGTCAGTTTCGCCTTTTGACTGGATTACATTTTAAAGTCTTTTTTGGTTACAACTTTCCACACCTCCCTTATTTGATTTTCTGAATGTTTTAGGAATGTCTAGGGCTTAGGAAACTAGGGTTTCATACAATATATGTTTTTAGAAATCTGTAAAAGCTTTTGCAACCTTGAGCCTCTTTATGTTTCTTAGAGTTTACTTTGAGGTTCCATTTTCTACGTTGTGCCTTTCATTAATTTCTGTTGTGAGTGCGCACATTCATGCTCTAGAATACCCCTTTTGGTTGCTGGTGTCTTGGTGTAGGGTTTAGTGGGGTTTAGGATACCTAGGGGGAGTACGCCCCCAAAAACGGAATCTGAAAATGAAATGGAAAGCAAACTAATCGAGTGACATTGATGTAGTTCTTACTCAGGTACATTGGTGGGTTAAGTATGGTTTAGGAGGTTTAGGGGTTTAGAAGTTAAGATATTCCCACTAAGTTACAATTTTGTTTGTGTCATTGTTTGTCACAAGGTTGTGGACCACCAGCTAAATGCAAAAAAAGAGTGTAGGCTAAAACTAAGTTCTTTTTTGTACCTATTGCGAAAAAGAACGCCCAAAAAGAATTTACTGTTGATTTTTTGCATCAGTAAAGAAAAACCATGGATCCTTCACTGGTGCTGATACTCTAGTATCATCCTTGGGCTTTCATACTAGCATAACCACACTACTAAACTAAACCAGTTATGGAAAAAATAGAACTTAAAAATAAACATCCTAACAAATGGTTCAGTCTAACGGAAGCCAAGTACCTTTATGTTTGCTTTGCTAGTGATGAGATTCCATGTCGAACGGAAGCCAAGTAAAAGGGCCACTCCAGTCAACCAAAATATCTGTGTTGGAGATACAAAATAAAAGAAAATGAAAGGCCCGTCCTATACATAAAGTCAAAGAAAGATTACAAATTAAGGAAAACTCTTACATTCCCCAGAGCAAGCAAACCTCTGTCAAAGAAAAGCACTACACCGAGAAATGTGAAACATAGACCAAACCCAAGGAGACCCAGCCCAATCTCTGCAAAGTTTGAGCAAAAACGTTATGAGCCACATATCATTTCTCTGATGCATAATGTGAAATAACAAAAACAAAACAAAAGCGCTGCTTACTTTTTTGCTCGGTTAATTCATAAGCCATCTTAGGAATTCTAATTCCAATTTATGGTAACAAGCGAAAAGCACAAACTGCAATATGTAGAGAATATCAAACCCAATGAAATGCCCAGTTGGAATAACTACAAAATTAAAAGAAACCCAAATGGAAATGAGAGAGAGAGAGAGAGACCTGTAGAAGGGCATCAGCAACGGTGATTTGGAGAGGAAAGCTCAATGCTTTGTTTTTTTCCTCACCACTGGAAAGTTTAAAAGTTTGCTAAAGAGAGTGGTTTTGACTCTTTTTTATTCCGGGTACCTTTATACCCACTTACCCAATTTTAAAGACCCACCCAGAACCAACCTGTTAGTGTTAGCCCACTTGTGTGAATGATGAATGATCTAGCTGGTCCAACCCAAACTGAGTGATGTGATTCAGTTCAACTCAAATTAATCGGTTTTCGGTAGGGGTGCGCATCAATCCGGCAGAATTGATGAAATTGGCTGATCCAAAATGTAATTACCAGTTTGGATTGGTTTTGATTAAGAAAAAATTAAACGGTTTAAAAATTGAACCGGACTGTATATAGTTTAGTTTAATATAATTTCGAGCTTTTATAAACCGACTTAAACCAAACTAAACCATTTATGTATATATTTATTTGTTTATATTTTATTTTACATGTGTAATACTTTAATTAGGTAATAACTATATATGGATATTTGAATTGAGCTATATTAGTTATTGACATTTGAAGTTTTAAGACATGTTGAGCTTTAGGATGGTTTTGTACTCGAGGCATGTTGTAATCCCGCTTGTTTTATATATATTGCTTGGTTGGCGGAATTTATTCTTGTGAATTGCTTGAAGTTTTCTGATAGGGTGGGTAGCCTTAAAAAGGTACATGCTGCCAAAATTTCGAAAGGATCTTTACACAAAATTCTCGTTATATATTGCTTTAACAATTTTTGCAAGGCTTGTCTAGTTGTTTGGCCCAAAATGCACCCTCTTGTCATGCCTTAGAGGGGTCAAACCAATATGTGCATGATTTTTACAAAGATTCTCGTGAAACCCATGGATGTCGTGGGCATCCTACGTAATTTTGCTTAGGCGTGGCGCTTGTTAACAGTTTGGGATCCCATCCTAGTGACTTTGCTTGGCATGCTTACTGCTAAGTAGCATTTTTTTTTTTTAGAGCAAGGGGAATTTGAAACATAGAAAGGAAAAACTCTAGGGGCAAATTTTTTTCAAAATACTCCTTCATTTTCATTGCAAAGTCCATGCCACCATAATGGTGCATTTTACAAAAGTTTTTCTAAAAACATAAGGTAAGGATATAGAAGGAGTTCATATCTAAAACGGAAAGAAATGCAATAACAAAAGGGTGGGGCACAAGGTTAACTTAGCAGTAGTAAGGCTTGAGACCGGACTGTATATAGTTTAGTTTAATATAATTTCGAGCTTTTATAAACCGACTTAAACCAAACTAAACCATTTATGTATATATTTATTTGTTTATATTTTATTTTACATGTGTAATACTTTAATTAGGTAATAACTATATATGGATATTTGAATTGAGCTATATTAGTTATTGACATTTGAAGTTTTAAGACATGTTGAGCTTTAGGATGGTTTTGTACTCGAGGCATGTTGTAATCCCGCTTGTTTTATATATATTGCTTGGTTGGCGGAATTTATTCTTGTGAATTGCTTGAAGTTTTCTGATAGGGTGGGTAGCCTTAAAAAGGTACATGCTGCCAAAATTTCGAAAGGATCTTTACACAAAATTCTCGTTATATATTGCTTTAACAATTTTTGCAAGGCTTGTCTAGTTGTTTGGCCCAAAATGCACCCTCTTGTCATGCCTTAGAGGGGTCAAACCAATATGTGCATGATTTTTACAAAGATTCTCGTGAAACCCATGGATGTCGTGGGCATCCTACGTAATTTTGCTTAGGCGTGGCACTTGTTAACAGTTTGGGATCCCATCCTAGTGACTTTGCTTGGCATGCTTACTGCTAAGTAGCATTTTTTTTTTTAGAGAAAGGGGAATTTGAAACATAGAAAGGAAAAACTCCATGGGCAAATTTTTTTCAAAATACTCCTTCATTTTCATTGCAAAGTCCATGTCACCATAATGGTGCATTTTACAAAAGTTTTTCTAAAAACATAAGGTAAGGATATAGAAGGAGTTCATATCTAAAATGAAAAGAAATGCAATAACAAAGGGGTGGGGCACAAGGTTAACTTAGCAGTAGTAAGGCTTGAGCCACTTCCCGTTAATGGGATCCGTTAGCATGCCTTCCTTGACAGAGACCAAGCGATAGTATCCACTGCTGTAAACTTCTTTGACTGCAAACGGGCCTTCCCATTGCAGGGCAAACTTGGAAGGTTTGGACATTTGCCTTCTCACGTGCTCAGCAAATTTTAGCATGAGGTCTCCTTGCTTGAATGCTCAAGGTTTGACTGTCCTGTTATAAGCTTGGCCAACAGTTTTGTGGTAAAGTGTCGTCCTCCTTTCGGTCTCCGCCCTTTTTTTCGTCCAAAACTTCTAGGTCCAACAAGCCCCAGTCCTCATATCCCATTCAAGGTCGTTAACGGCTGATACTCTCGTAGTAGGGATGGTGATCTCGATAGGTGAGATGGCGGCGGACCCGTATACAAGTGAATAAGGTGAGAAGCCTGTGGCACTTCTTGGAGAGATGCAGTAAGCCTATAAGGCATCTGGCAGATGAACACTCCAACCCTCTTCATACTCATATACCATTTTGCTCAGAATTCTCAGTAAAGTCTTGTTGGTGGCCTCCGCTTGACCGTTTCCCTGTGGGTAATAAGGCGTGGAGCGAAGATACTTGATACTGTAGCCACCAAGTGTCGAGCTCACTTGCTTATTAACAAAAAGGCGTGCCATTGTCAGTGATGATTTTGTATGGGATTCCAAACCTGCACACGATGTATTCCCGAATAAAATTTGAGATAGCAGCCCCCGTGGCCTTCCAAAGAGGAACTGCCTCGACCCATTTTGTGAAATACTCAGTGGCAATGAGGATCCATATGTAGCCGTCAAAAGGTGGATGGATAGTCCCAATTAAGTGAAGGCCTCAAGTATGAAGAGGCCAAGGAGTGCGCATGTCCTGCAACAGAGAGGGAGGCTTGTGGCTTAGATTTACATGGATTTGGTATGTGTGGTACTTCTTCACAAAGTTGTGTGCGTCATTCTTCATGGTAGGCTAGTAGTACCCAAAACTCAGCAGCTGCCGGTGAAGCCTCTTCATTCCCTGGTGCTCACCACATTCTCCAGCATGTATTTCTTGCATGAATTGATGTGTCTCTGATTCTCCCAAGCATTTTAACGGCTCACCATTAAACCCTTTATAATAAAGAGTCGACCCGTCCACAAAGGACCTTTTTACTGTCTTTTTAAGCTTGTGAGCATGTTTGGTTGGTAGAGTCCCTTCAATGAAGAATGCCAAGTATGGAGCCCTCCAATCCTCCGCGAATGAGATGGTGAAAGATTCTTCGATAGAGGGTATCGTAGAACACCAGAGGCAATTGGCTCAAATTTCGGCTGCTTGTTTCTTCATTTCTAGCCAATAATAACCTTTGCGTTGCAAGCGCCGATACAAGTTGATTATTGGCTCCAAGCTGTAAGTGGCATCATGTACCTCCTGCAGCCTCTTTTGTGCTTCTGTCATCCCTATGCAACGGGTCAAAATACCTCCCGGGAGACATCTGTAAAGTTCTCCAAAGATGATTACATAGTCTTTCAAGTCTTTGATGTCGTTTCCTTCACCTAACTTTTCCTTCACTGGCTTTCCCCAGTCCCTTTCTTCCACCGACTCCTCCTGAGTCATTGCTTCGACTACTGGCATGTCTTTCTTTATTATAGTAATATTGGGTTGCTCTTTGACAAATGAGAGCTTTGACCCCAATGTAGCCAAAGCATCAGCATATTTGTTAGTGATCCCTGGAATGTGCTCCAGCACAATTTGCTTGAAAGAACTAATAAGCTTTTCGGCAGATGTACAATATGGGGCCAAGGTTGCCTCTTTCACAGCAAAGCTCCCTTGCAATTGACTTAGCACTAAATTTGAAACACTAATGATCTTAATATTTTCTACACCCCTCTCCTTTGATGTAGACAATCTCATAACAAAAGCTTCGTACTCCGCCACATTATTCGTACATGGAAATTTCGCTTAAATGAGAGGGTCGTGGCTTGCCCCTCAGTGTTAATGAGTACCACACCTGCTCCTCTGCCATTCGATGTAAAGGAACCATCAAAGTAGAGGGTCCATGGTTCCTCCTCCGCGACAATGGCAACCATTTCCGGCAGCTCTCCTAGAACTTCTTTGGAGAGGATGGACTCCTCTGCTTCAAGAAACAGGGCCAGCATATCGATCCCTCCGCTACAATGGCAACCATTTTCGGCAGCTCTCCTAGAACTTCTTTGAAGAGGATGGACTCCTCTGCTTCAAGAAACAGGGCCAGCATATCGATCACAACTTGTCCCTTAATAGCTCTAGGAGTTATGCATGTGATATCAAACTCAGATAGTTGTAGCAACCAACGTGCGAGGCGTCCTGACAACACCGGTCTTGTGAGCAAATACCTTTTAGGATCAGACTTCACTTTAAGCTATAACTTGTGAGCATGGAAGTAATGTCGCAGTGCATAGACAAGGGCAACGCATAAGAGTTCAGTCTTTGGGTATCTCGTTTCATCTCCCCTTAACTGTCTACTCACATAATAAATAGCGCTTTCCTCCCCGTCATGGTTGTCCTGGGCAAGCAAAGGCCCAACTACGGTGTTTGTTGCAACCAAATAAAGCTTGAGTGGAAGTCCCGGAATAGGCATCTTTATGGTGGGTAACTTGGTGATCAGTTGTTGCACCTGATGATAGGCTTCTTGGCATTCCTCGCTCCACATATACTGCTTGCCTTTCTTAAGTAAAGGCTTGAAAACACTCATTGTGGCAGCAAGGCCCGGGATGAAGCGCCGAATGTATGACAGTCTTCCTATGAAACTTTTTAATTCCTTTGGATTCCTAGGCGATGCAAGGGAGTCTATGGCTCTGGTTTTTTCAGGATCCACATATATGCCTCGTTGGTGCACTTGGAACCCTAAGAACTTGCCGGATGAAACTCCGAACGCCCACTTTTTTGGGTACATTTTCAATTCGTTCCCTTAATAGCTCTAGGAGTTATGCATGTGATATCAAACTCAGACAGTTGTAGCAACCAACGTGCGAGGCGTCCTAACAACATCGGTCTTGTGAGCAAATACC